TGGGGGGGGGGGGGGGGGCTTGTTATATACATCTCTGCATTCTAGGTTGCTTTCCTGATAGAGATGAAGCCTCCAGCATTTATCATAATAGGGTAGATAGTCCACAACATGTTACAAGCTTCATGAGTACACCTAGGATTACACTGTACTTGTTATTTGATAAGTTACATGAATATCTTGCCAAGTGCCACTAGAAAAGGAGTAATATTCACAGAAGAGGACAACTAATGCTCATTTGAAGAGTTCTAATGCATATGCTCCTAGATAAAGGAATTGGGTATGTTCACACAGCAGCTGTTGCAGCTTAGTAAATGCACTTCAAAGCAAATGTTAACAAGGGCGTGTGTATGAGTATTTGTGTTTTAATGAAGCCAGCAGGCAACTAGGTGTCCTAGACTAGATATGTTCTGCAAACAGAATAACTCTTCCTTCAAGAGCCTTCCTTGACACTGAAGGCATCACCACCAACAATGGAATGGTGCTGAAGCCACTGAGCAGCCATATTCAGTCCATTCACAAAGCTCAAGGGACTGCATCTTATTTTGTGTGTCCCCCCCCCAACATTGTAATTAGAAGTGAAGTCTGCTGCTGATGTGAGAAAGCCTTAGATTAATGGGTGCAAAAAGTTATTCTGAAGAACTCCTCTTGTAACAGCTTATGCTTCCAAGCAACATGACACTAGTTATGGGAGATACTAGTTATGTGTGCTAGGAGACAAACTGCTACATGTCCAAACTCTCACACCTTCCTTTCTCAAATGGTGAAGGAACTATGAGGGGCTTGGCCATATTTAATATTAACGGGTAAGAGGAGATGGGGTGAATGTGGAGCCGGTGCAGAGGAGGCTGACAGTGACAAAGACGATCAGGGTCCTAGAGACTAAGCCCTATGATGAAAGGCTGAGGGTCTTCGGAATGTTCAGTCTGAAGAAGAGGTTGAGGGGGGACATGATTGCTCTCTGAGTATTTGAAAGGTTGTCATACTTAGAAGACGACTCAGGGAACGGTTCTTGTTGGCAGCAGAGGATAGGAATCACAATAATGGGTTTAAATTACAGGTAGAAAGGTACTGGCTGGCTATTAGGGGAACATTTTTTTACAGTACAAGTAGTCCAACAGTGGAATTGGAAGCCATAGGGAGGTGATGAGCTCTCCCTCACTGGCAGTCTTCAAGCAGTGGCTAGATAAACAATTGTCAGGGATGCTTTTAGGCTGATCCTACATTGTGCAGGGGTTTGGATTAGATGGCCTGTATGGCCCTTTCCAACTCTATGATTCCCCTGCATCTCAAGCATGCACTGACAACTTCCAAGTTCCATCCCCGGCAAAGATTTCAGTTAACTAAAATTTAGCCAAAAGGTGTCAAGATAGGTTGGTTCAAAGTCAGAGGGTACATATACAAGGTCAACTTTTTCCTTCTGTCTCTTGAGGATATATGGACATAAGGGATCTTACCTACAGCCAGATCATTGCTTAACTAGTTATCTGTATGAGCTCATGGGTGAATTAAGTCACTACCCACTACCTATTATGTACCTAAGCCTTTTCTGTAAGAGCTGGTAAATGATCACAGGACTGAAGGCAGAGTGATGTAAAACCAGCTGTTTTCTAAGCGGTAAACATATTCACTGTTTATTGCTGTTAACTGGCACATTGTACTATCCCTTATTCAACTAGTTCACTACCATTTCAATAAGGTTGCCAGCACTTGAAACCAATGCAGGGGGCAGAGAAGAGATGGAAAAAACAGGACTGTTTACAACTGAAAAGTGCCCCTATGATCCAGTTCTGCTTTTCTCAGTTTGAAAGTGTTCAAGCCACCCAAAATGATGCTTGGTGGGCAGAAACGGGTGACAGAGTGGGAATATTGCTATAAGAGTGAGAAAGAGATGCTTTCAAATTTAAGACACGTTCGGAGAAGCAAGGCCGATTATTCTTCTGCTTTCTGTCCCATTCCAAGTAGTAACGTGTTAAGTCTTTTACCTTGCAGCAGCTGTTCCTGGAATCACTTCATAGACATAGACCCCGGAGCTCAGGTCTGGGAAATCCCTATCTCTCCGCCTCAGCTCACGGATAAGACTGCAAAGAGAAAACAGGACAACTCAGCTAGGCTATCTAGAATCCTACATTAACAAAGATGCCCCAAGCATTATTAACAGACGTCCACCCTAGGTAGCAGCGTGTGGACATCAAATATGCCCAAGGCCTGGATTGAAAACAGCCTGTACTGAGAGTCACCCTGCCAGCAGAAAATATAATGGGGAAGGGGGTGTCTGTGTGATGTGTATGCTTCATGCTTTCATTCCACCAGAGGACAACTCTTGACAGCAGAAGGTGCTATGCAGTTCAGCTGTGAAATAATATGGGCTGCCTTTGTCCTGGAACCTTAAACGGGGTGTTGGTGATTGGTTTCTGAGGATGCCCATCTTCTGGCAATTCCCTCCCTCAAAAGGTCTTTTAAAGGTGTAAAGCATCATTTCTCTGAAGGGGCAACATTTCCTCCATTTTATCTGCCTTTACTTGAGACTCTCACTCATTTTTTATTTGTTCTGTCTTTTGAGAAAATGTATGTTAAGCTATCTTAGCCCTAACTGCCAGGAGAAACTTTTCAATATCCACAAGAGATCCATGCCCCTACAAGTGAATAGACTACAAAAGCCAATAAGAGATCTGGGCTCTTCCACAGGGCTGAAATGGCTACAGAAGCCCATGAGCTGGCAGAAATGGAATGCACCCTCACAGGGGCTGAGGATAACCAATGGATACTGCTGTGGTGAGTGAAGACGACATGGGCATATATTGGGAGAGACGGTCCCACTGTATGGGAGCCTCAGGTCATGAAAAGCTTTACAGGTAAGCACCAGCACCTTGGACTTGGAAACAGCAGGCAACCACTACAAGGACTGCAAAATAGGTGCAATATGACCTCTGAGGCCTCTCCCTGATAACAGACAGGCTGCCAGATTTTGCTCCAACTGCATTGCCTGAATCCAGGCCTGAGGCCAGATTGAAACTAAAGAAGTGTGCATGCACAGGAGAGCTTATACCCAGAATTAAACTTTGTTGGTCTTAAAGGTGCCACTGGACTCAGACTTTGTTCTGTTGCTTCAGACCAACACAGCTACCAACCTGAGACATCCCTCAGGTGAGACTGAAATGTTGCATACAAAAAGGAACAAATGGGGCAGCAGACACCACTACTGAAGAATCCATTGATAAGTTGGCATGCAAATTGGATTGAATCTGAAGATATTTTATCAGTTAATAGTTATAGTAAAACATTATATAAGATTAAATTCCTATTTTAGGACTTGTCAGAGTCCAGAGCTAGATACAATTCCATGCAATTCCATCAAAGTTTTATCCAGGTAGTCACAAGGTAGCTGCTATTATCGGATCATAATCCGATCAAGCTAAACTTTAAAGCAAGAGATAGGAGGAAAGAAATGGAAAGGTAGAAAACTTACTTGAAAGTGAGAGGAAGCATGCGGAGTCCCAAGTACTTTTTCTTGGGTCTGACCTTCCCTAAAGAGACAAAGGGTCAAACGCATTCTCATGAAGTCAGGTAAAACGTACAGGCCAAAACTGAGACCTGGTTCATACAAGAGTCCCAGCTTTCTCTTATCACCCATCCCGTGTGAACAAAGCCTTGTGAGCAAGTCCACATTGCCCAATATGTCCATTAAACACACAAAAAAGTACTTTAGAAGAGTGCATTATCTCCATCCCTCCAAAAGCAGGTCCAAATCTCCATGACTGAACTGCTTGCCAAACAAAAACTATCAGGAAAAAAACTAGTCTGGCAAATAGATCAAAACCTCAACAAAAGCCCTCTGGAGTAAGATTCTGGCAACAGTATGGGAGGAGTCAATGGCTGGGTCCAATACAAGCGACTACTGGGTTGTAGTCAGCAGTATGGAGGCTACACCTGGTTTTGGCTGCCAGCAGCTCACTAGTACTGTGGCTTGCCCAGGAACTTTCCTGGTAAGGTAAAGGGCCAGTCTGCCCCTTTTTGGGTTTGGATGGCATGAACAGTGTCTACTTGCGTATGGCCTACTACTTGTGACCCAGCAGGCCATGGTTCATTCCCATTATGCCACACTCTGTGTACGACCTATAAGTTGAGGCACCATGTGTTAACTTTGCCTCAGAAAATCAAGACCTTTTCCCCAATAAACTTACCTTTCACCTGACGATTGTGAGACTCTTCTAGGAACTGCCGGATTCGATCTGAGGGAATGGCAAAGGAAATGCCGGCAGTTACCTTCAACGTGTTCATCCCAATGACTTCTCCATCCTGTTGGGAAGGTCACAGCAATTGTGACTTATCTGGAGGCAATTAGGCAGAAGCAAGGATACAACTTGGCAAAAACGGAGCAGGGGATGACATTACTTGAACATTCACCCAAACTCAAGATGTACACATTAACAAGTCTCTCACCAGAGATGTGGGAGTCAGGAGGGGAGCCCGGTTACATTATGAGGAGGGGAGGACACCAAACCAAAGCTATGGCAATCATAAACAGAAACAGCACTGACATGCCCATATCTAGAAATAAAGGCCAGTTCTCTGTTTTTAAAACTTTCAGTGCAAAATTTGCAATGCTACATTTTTAATTCAAATAGGAACTGTATTACTATAATCCAAACATTGTTTGGATAATAGACCAAAACAGCTGTTGTACTGAAGCCCAAGCTCTTTGCTAGCTTATTTATTAACAGGTGTCCCAGGTGAAAAAAGATTT